CAAAATTTTTAGTGGGTAAATACTATATTTTCTTGGTTATAAATTACAATTTTCACTCTCAAACTTTCGTTTCAATTTTATATTTAGTTTTATTGAGTGTATGACTCAAATGAAACCACATTTAAATGTATATCATATATTAAAATTATAAAATTCTGCCTAGTAACATTTATCATCTACAAAACACTGAAAAAGCAAGGACTAGATTTAGAGACAATTTTTGAAAAATTGAATGGTATTTTTTACAGGCTATAGTTTAATTTCTCTCACTTTTTAATGCTAATCACAGAACTTTTTTCTCTGTAGTTTACTTGATTACTCTCACATTCAGTGCTCAGGTATTGTTTACTTTATTTTTTGCAACTTACTATTATATGGTGTGCCCAGTTACATTGTGAGTAGGTAATAAAAAATGATATATATGAAATCTTATTCTTAATAATTTCCAAACTTTCAAAAAAATAAATAAATTATTTTCAATGCTTTCTAATTGGTGATGATTAAGTTGATTCATGCAGGCAATAAGAGTCGTGACTCTGTGCAACCTTTTTCTTTATCAAATGGCATCAGAATTCTATTTTTTTCCATTGCCACCATCTCCATCTCCATCTCCATCTCCATCTCCATCTCCATCATCAACCCATCTTCAAATTCTAAAACCATGTTAAGTTTGAAACAATTAGATCTGATAAATTAGATCCAAAACCTTCCTCGTGATGGTATTTATAAAATAATAATAAAAAAAAATTACCTATAAACAGTCGAAACTCATTAATTAATGCCATTAAAAATTTTCATAGAGTAGAGTATATAGAAGGCTTTTTGTAATAAGGCATGAGAGGGCCAACTATGGACCAAGAAGTTGTTGGCTTTTTGGCTTTTCGAAGGGTATTTTTGTAAATGTGAGCGTGCCAGCAAGGATCAATTAGTACTTACAGAAATTGTGATTGCCAACCAATTACCAGACGATTGTGTTTTAGTTCTTTCAGCCTCAATGAAGAGGACTTTTAATGGTGGCTTGACTTAGGAGAAATTAAGAGAAGTAACAATTAATATGAAGAACAATGGAAGTACTTCATAAAAATGAAAAACTTACAATAGTCCAAACTCAGCCTCGAAGAGGTTTACAGCAACAGTCTACTTGAATCTACTTGGGACTACTCCTATGAATTGAAGTGCAGTGCAGATATGTAAAGTGCAGGTATTGAAAGTACAGGAATGTAAAACTGGAAAGTAAAATATGAAGTAAAGACTGGTATGTATGATCTGAGTTCCGTCCTTTTTCCTGGGGGTGTCTCTGCTATTTATACTTGTCAAAGATGACCTTCGAACTGCTCTTCGAACCGTCGAACTGCTCCTCCATGATCGCTGATCATGTTGCCTTAGAAGTAGCTCCATTATGCTACCATTTGCAGTTAGACTTCCCTCCTGTATTTGAATTTGAATATGAGTAACCGTTGAAGCCACGTCACCTTGCGTTTCTTTACTGATCCAATGTTGCTCAGACCATGTGAGAACCAATTATCATCACCACGTGTACGATCAGGATCGGAGACTTAAATTATTTTCTAATAATACCCTTATTCTGCCACGTGTCGGATTGATGTTTTACCAAATTTAGGGGCCCTATTGTTTTTTATTTATTTATTTATATATTTTCATTTTAATAAATATGGGCCAAACACATTTATAAATAAATATGGGCTAAATTATACATGTGCTCAATAAAACATTTGGGACCCTTTAAATTGATCTTAAAAAAAAAAAAAAAAAAGTTGAACCTATAACAATTTTTTAAATTTGGGGGTCCTATTTTTAGGTCAAAATATGAAGCCTAAGGCACAAGCCTTACCTGCCTTAGGGCAGGGCCGGCCCTGCATCAACCCATCTTCAAATTCTAAAACCATGTTAAGTTTGAAACAATTAGATGTGATAAATTAGATCCAAAACTTCCTCGTGATGGTATTTATAAAATAATAAAAAAAAAAAATTGCCTATAAACCGTCGAAACTCATTAATTAATGCCATTAAAAAATTTCATAGAGTAGAGTATATAGAAGGCTTTTTGTAATAAAGCATGAGAGGGCCAACTATGGACCAAGAAGTTGAAGGCATGTAAGTGTGGGCACACATTACGACTGTGAAACTGTTAGATCAATTATGGCCATTGTTAAGTTTGAAACAATTAGATCTGATAAATTAAAAAACTATTCCATAATAGAAGTAGAGAAAGTTAGGAACGGGATGCAATTTCATCTACACCAAGTCTGTTGTTCCTTCATATTATAGAACAGATAGATAGATATATTATTTTGTTTTTAAAAAATGTTAAGGGGCGTAGCAAACTCAGGCCGAAGAAGGGTCCATGCTTTAATGGCTGACCGGATGGTAAAAATTTAAGAATAAAATTTAAGGTACTGAATTTCATTAATTGCAGGATGTCCCGAAATTAGTCGAAATACGTACAGCCCGGATTGTCAGTTAAAAAGAATAAATCGTCCATGTCTGGCACAAGACAGCTAGGAGGAGCAACATGTTTTGAAAAGTAAAGTATACATTCAATGCCTGCACAAAAATAAATGACAACTCTCAACGAATTGTACACCCCTCTGTTTTATTTTCTAAGAGCTACAAACAAATTAGTACGTCTTTTGTTGGGTGTCAATAATGAAAACAAAAATGCCTAAGACCTCCAGTGGGGGTCACTGGCGGTCATGTACGGAGGCTTCTCATTGGTCAAAAAAAAAAAACTATTTTTTTTTTTTTTTTTTTTTGTGATTTGGGCGAATGGCACGCTGCCACCTCACTGGGGGTCAACCCCCAGTGGGGATCTGTAGCAAAGTCCTAATGAAAAACACATTTTTTTAAATTTTTATTTTTTGGATTTAGTTTTATTTATTTATTTTTAAGTTGATCATCTTAATTTTACATAGCTTTTAGATTTTAGTAGGCCTATTTTAAAACTGAGAGAGTTTTAAGATGATTTGAATAATTTTATTTTTGATTTTTTAGGAAAAGATATGCAAAAAAGTAAAGAGGTGATGTGACCAAAAATAGACAAAAAAAATTTAAAAAATACACTTTTGTAGAATATCCCAAATAGTGTCTTATTTCGGTAATCTGAACTATTCATTTTTTACGACTCATTGAATATAATATTCATACAAAAAATTAAAATGATTAGACAAATTTGATTAAAAAAATATAACTATCGATATCCGATTATCCTATTTTTTAAATTAATATTCTATTTAACGAATCGTAAAAAGTGAATCATTAGTTAAAAAATAGACTTACCAAATCCAAATATTTTGACGTGGTGTTTGTAACGCCGCCTACATTCAATGCCTGCACAAAAATAAATGACAACTCTCAACGAATTGTACACCCCCTGTTTTATTTTCTAAGAGCTACAAACAAAATTGTACATCTTTTGTTGGGTGTCAATATTGAAAAACACATTTTTTGAATTTTTATTTTTTGGATTTAGTTTTATTTACTTATTTTTAAGTTGACCATCTGAATTTTATACAATGTTTAAATTTGGTAGGTCTATTTTGAAACTGAGAGGGTGTTTGAGATGATCTAAATAATTTTATTTTTGACTTTTTAGGAAAAGATATGTAAAAAAGTAAAGAGGTAATGTGACAAAAAAAAAATACACTTTTGTAGAATATCTCAAATAGTGTATGATTTCGGTAATCTGAATTATTCATTTTTTACGACTTGTTGAATATAATATTTATGCAAAAAAATCAAAATGATCGGACAAATTTGATTAAAAAAATATAGTTATCGATATCCGATTATCTTATTTTTTGCATAAATATTCTACTCAACAAATCGTAAAAAAGAAATCATTCATATTATTGAAATTAATCAAAAAATAGACTTATCAAATCCGATTATTTTCTCAAATTAAAATGACAAATGGAAAGAAGCCAACTTCTTATTTTTATTTTGTATGTTGTGTTTGTTTTGTATTTATGAGTAGTCAGATCTAGGAAACTAATATAATGGTGTCAAACGAGATTATTTGGGTGCATATACATCTTCACCAACCAATTTGAGAAGCATTCGGATAGTAATCAAGGTGGACCATTTATTTCAAAATCATTTGTATGGTTCATTTGTAGACAAATTTAATGAAAATTTATTGTTAAGATTATTGAATCGAGTTAATTTTTTACATAAAAACTTAAAAAGTGAAAATTTGAATCACTAAAAAAAAATTAATATTAAGGTACCTTTTGGGAAGTGGGTTATAATTAATCCACTTCCCAGATTATAACTCACTTCCTCTCTCACAAAAAAGCTGCTTATAAGCAACTTTTAACAAAAAAAAGTTGATTATAACCATCTTCTCAAAATAGATCGCCAACCCAATAATACTAAAATAATTAATTCCAAAACAAGGCATCCAATAAAAAAGCCACACATTGATGCAAGGAAGCTTATGAAATGAACGAAAAAGACAAAGAAATAAAACAATAATATAAAAAGAGAAAACCTTATTTGAATTTTTATTACTTGAAGTTTTACAACTCAATTTAAAGATTAGAATGTTTGGCGACCAAACCACAATTCATATATTAAATCAAGTTAAGATTACACAAAATTAGAAAGATTGTCTAAAATAGTAGATTTGAGATCTAGAATATAAAAGACACTTCTTAAAAAATTATGACTCAAAATAGATTTATTAATATTCCGAAATTAAGTGTTCAAAATCTTTTCAAATAAAATTTTTTCTACTAATTTCGAGGTCTAAACGATGTATCCAAAATCGAGAGGAGGTCACTGACGGCTTAAAGATTTGAGTTAGGCATAAACAATGAAATTCACTTTTTCAGATAAAAAACGAGCATTTTGAGTCTAATCCAACAACCTTAAAAAATTAGCAAAATTGTCGTTTTGTCATTAAACAATCAAATTGTTCTATGAAGTTACCGTTAATCACTACTCTCTCTTGAATATCTTTTTCAAAACAAATGACATCACATTTTTTTGTTTTTTTTTATCAGCAAAGAAATGAATTTTATTGATGCAAAAATATCGTATACATCAATAGAAAGATGGATGCACAAGCATCATAGCAAGCAATATGATCTCAACTAGGTTGACACCATAGAACAAGTCCAATCATTTGCAACATCACATCGGGCTAGCGAGCAACCAGCCAAAGAAGGAATACAACCCCAAATAAACAAGAAAGCCAACTAAAACTCCCAAAAATAGTAGCAGCAGCAGCCACAAAATCAAATTAACAAATAGCAGCAGCAGCTACAGAGCCAAACCAGTAACCAAAACTGACAGCTCAGCCACAGGACCAAACTAGAATTGAGAGTCACAGAGCCAAACCAGATAGCAGCAGCAGAGCCAAAACACAGCCACAGAGCCAAAACAGATAGCAACAGCAGCCACAGGACCAAACCAGAATTGAGAGTCACCTGGAACAAAATCTGACCTGATGTAAATTAAAGACAATGTCATTTACTGAGAAGGGCAACCCTGTGTATGATGCTTTGGTCCATAATGCAATTCTCACTTTGACCAATTCACATATCTCCTCCAAGCTAGATTGGGCATTATTGAAAATACAATCATTCCTTGATTTCCACATTGACCATAATACTGCAAACGGAATAATTCTCCAAATCTTCTTCTCTAATTTTTTTCAACTTTGTTCCTGACCACCAATGTAACAGCTCATCTACTGATTTTAATATCACCCATTGAATACCCCACCATTTCATAATTTTGGACCATACGACATCACATCTCATACGACAGCAAAGGCTACGTACCCTCTCCTCCTTCAATGTTCTCAAACATTTATAGTAGAAATCCCATTCCCACCCCTCTTTCACACACACCCCCAAATTCTATTTAAATTCACCAACAACTGAGATAAAAAGATAACAAATCTCTTAGTATATTCTATTGTGAAGGGTTACCATTTTGGACTTATAGAAAATGAAAAAAGTTCTTCACCACCACCTTCTCTCTCTCCTCCTCTTCATTTTCTCTTTCACAACTGATTCCAAGTCTGTGATTGAACCTTGCTACTCTTCAGATTCATGCCCTTCTCTCCTCTCTTATAGACTGCCTTGGGACTCGAAACTCTCCGAGGTCGCATTTATATTCCAACTAAACATTTCTGATATCTTAGGTTCCAACAACATTGATGCCATGGTACCATGGTCCTCGAACCAAATTCTTCCTGCCAGATCCCTCGTTAAAGTGCCCACTTCGTGCCAATGTGTCAATGGCATACGTCGGTTAGTCTCAACCATATTTTTTATCAAAAAAATAAGATTTTAAGACAAATTATAATCGTAATCCTGTAATTTTGTCTCTTCCACTAATTTATTTTTTGTTTTTCTAATTATATCGGTTTTTACTCTTAAATTGTTCATAATGTATCGATTTAACACAATTGATAACATTCCTATGAAAATTGGACTGAAATTAAGGGGTAAAATAATCTACTTATTTACTTTTCTTAAAATGATTGAGAAGCTGATATCTAATTTGAAATAGTTTATTTCTTTTTTAATAGATCATTTCGCCCATCATTTCTATCCAATTTATTAGCAGGTGTTATTAATTAGATTAAATTTATACAATATGAAATATTAAATAAAAAAATTGAAATAATTAGAACTAAATGGTGGTTAATTCATAAATGAGGCAAATTTCATGGACTATGCATATATAATCTGTTCAAAATTTTGTGGGCAAATTATACCCATAATCCATTAACCATTTACACCGTTGGAGCATTGGATGCTTGGAGCTCTATAGCTAAAGGCTATGGCTCCAAATTTTATATATTAACTCAAAATATAAGAGTAAATCAAGATAATAAAGACTATGAACCGGTAATATAGGTCAGTTTCAACCATTTACACCGTTCGAGCATCAGATACTTGGAACTCTATAGCGAAAGGCTATGGTGAGCTTGTTAGCGCAGAGCAGATAAGAATTAGTAATGTGGAGGTGCCATTGACAAGTGGACAGAGACTTGTCATTCCTCTACCGTGCATGTGCTTGAACAACACCGATGGTGAAGGTGGAGCGGCAGTGTATATGTCGTATGTGGTGGAGATTGGGGAGAACTTGAGCAGCATTGGAGATGAGTTTGGGACTACTGTTCATGAACTGGAAGGTGTCAATGGTTTTGATCAATCTCAAGTCAGTCCAGGAGATGTACTAGCCATTCCAATACCCGGTTAGTAGGGTTTGATGTGATATTGGATTTACTTGGTAAAAAAGTATAGTTTCTTATAGAATTAATTAAGAAGAAATTTCAATGCAGTGTAGGTTTAAAAATATATATATAAATAAATGATAAACTATATAAGAATTAATAATTAAAATTTTAAATTTTTTTATTAATTCGTAATAACTTTTTACAATACCACTTATTAATATTTCCCCCATTAATTAATTAATTAATTGTCAACTGTGTGTATGTACAGCATGTTCATCAGCAAATTTAAGATGGTACAATGAGAGTCTCGTTCTTCCAAATGGGTCCTACACTCTCACAGCCAATAACTGTGTCAAATGCAGCTGTGACCAACACAGTGATCTCAGGTAATTAATCCACCAAACTTCTAATACATTTTGGCTATGTTTGTTTGGGTGGACATGAGCTTAGGATTGGACTGATAGTCCAATAAAATTATTAATCCGATGCTTGGTTAAACAATTGAAGTACGAATTAATTATTTTAAACTTGACTATTAGTTAAGATAGGACATAATCCAACAGATTCGTAGTCCTAGGACTATTAGTCATGGGAATACTAATCCAGTCCGCCCAAACAAACATGGCCAAGTTACAGTTATATTATGATGGCATAAAATCATCACATACAAAATATATATGACATTTTTTTAAACAACTTTTGTTAATGGGTCCATTTTAAATTTTAAAAGATAAAATTATCGGTCTATATATCATTTTTTAAAAGGTTTGACTTTGATTACCCAATTATTTTTTTATAAGATTGGATATGTAGAGATTATTGATAAAATGATGGGTGATAAATTATAATAAGAGATTAGATGAAATGATAGATTGAATATATGATGAAATTATGAGAGAGTCATATATTATATTTGGTTAGGACGTGATAAGAGAATATAATTAATTTTGATAGTTCAATAAACAAGAAAATTAATTTGGACATGCCTAATCCTTCTAATTATCACAATTTCTATGGTATTACTTAATATTTCTTTTTTGTCTTCTTCTTCTTATTTAATCCTTTATACCAGTGTTAAGGCTAGCTAAAATTTTATAATACGGTGACAAACAAACAATGACCTAAAAACTTAAAGACAGGATTAAAAACTTAAAAGGAAAACGTCAGAATGCTATAGCGACGGCCGCATCTTCGACGTTTGATACTAAACGTCGCAAAAAGTATTAGAGGCGTTTTTCACACTTATAGCGGCGTTTTTCCAGCAGTGACTAGTTTAATTTATCTTGGGTAAATTACATCGATAGTCCTTATATTTGACTCATTGTGTCATTTTGGCCCTTATACTTTCAATTGGTTTAATTTTGACTCTTAATTTTAGATTTTGTATCGACTTGGTCCAATTGATAATATTGTTAGTGTTTTTTAAGAAAAATTATTACTAAATTGATTAAAATTAACTCACAGAATTGAGTAAAATATGACATGTGACACTTTTTGAGTATTTTTAATAAAAAAAAAATTACAAAGAATTGTAATCAATTGGATCAAGGTGAGACAAAAGTCATAAATTCATAATCAAATTGAATTAAATGAAATTATAAGGACTAAAATAACAAAATGACCAAAATATAGGGAGTACGATCATAATTTACCCATTTATCTTATTCATGATTGTACATTGGATATAACTTGATACACTTGATCTCAGCTTGCAATGTTCACCATCAGGGATTGAGCAATCTTGCCCTAATTTACAGTGCAAAGGTTCCAATCTTTTCATTGGCGACGCTTATGAGAGGCCAACAACATTTGGTTGCAGTGTCAATGAATGTGTTTACCGTGGCCATTTCAAGCATAAAATTTACAAGAGGTAACACCAAACCGGATTTACATCATTTCCTTGGCATATCAGAATAGAGATCGTCATTCTAATGTGTAAAATTGCAACACATTATTAAAAATCAAAATTAAAATGGGCATCTTCATTCTAACTATGTAATGAGGGGGATCGGAATCAAGACAGATGAATACTATTCTTATGGATAAATTTTATTACTATATTTCTTTCCGGGTGATTTGGAAAAGGAGCCGAAATCACTCTCTCCAACTTTAAAATAAAAAAAAATAAAAAAAAATAAAAAAAGGCCATTTGGGCTTATAATTCAATATGAGTAGTGTTATATATAAAGGGACACTTACCAATAAGTTTCATATATAAAGTTTAAAATTCATCTATTCTCAAAATAAAACACTGTACTAATTAATTCTACATATTTTTAATTATTACTAAAAAATCCCTTCTTTTTTTTTTTAACTTTAAAAACACTGCTATATTCCACCACCGTCGGACTTCCATCAAACGGTCGCTGGAAACTTGCCAGAATATTTAACATCACCAGGAAGTCACTGGAGTATAGCCGGAAGTTCGCCGAAGTGTTTTGAACGTCACTGGAAGTCACCAGAATGTCCAGAATGTTTGTTGTACATCATCAAGAAACATTATCGGAAACTCATTGGAATGTCCAAAATATAGTTGGAAAAAAAAATGGAGAAATTATAGTGAAAAAATATAGCAAAATGCGCTAAATATTGATAAACTGAAAGAAAAAAATTAAAATAATGTGAAAAAGTATATATTATTTTTCAATTTTTGTAGGGTTTAAGCAAATAATCTCCAATATTGATCAAATTGAAAAGTAAGTTTAGATCTAGTCAGAACTCATATAGATCTACTCAAATCTGATGTAATCTGATATAGATCTACTTACATCAGATCTAAGTAAATCTACTCATCTTCTTTGCCAGAAACTCGTCTCTTTCGTCGTTAGTGAGGGTAAAGTAAATAGTCGATGGTCTGCGATTGCCCATGAACCCCAAGTAATGACGATTGTTGGTCACCGGTGACTATATATTAGAAAGAGAAAGAGAATAAGGAAGGTATGGTCGTCACCAAAAATCAGGAAGAGAAAAAGGTAGAAAAAAACGAATACAGAGAAAAATAAAGAACAAAAACACGTAGTGGACTTTTGAGAGTATTCAAAAGGTTGTGGGACTAAATAGACTTATCCTCTTTTAAATAGGACTTCCAAGTTAACAATGGTCATTCTAGCATTATTAAAAACTAAACCAAACAGATTTGCATCACTTCGAAGCACTATTAACTTCTTAATTTCCTTATTGTTTGTCTTGCAGCTTAGTTAACTCTTCTTACATTCACTGCTCAGGTAATTAATTAATAGTTGGGTTAATTATACTTTTCAACTCTATAATTTGACTCAAATTTTACTTTAGTTCCTATAATTTTAATTTGAATAATTTGATCCTTACACTTTTAAGTCTGGATTCAATTCGATCTTTTCAAATTTTTGTTAATTTTCCCTATGTATATACTTTAGAAGACTGACAAGTGTTTCAAATTATTAATTTTAGCTTCTAATTTAAATAGAATGATCAAACTGAAACTATAATTAAAGTGTAGGGACCAAACTACTCAATTTGAAATAATAGGTATCAAAATGAAAGTTAGGTTAAGCGGCGGGTGTTAAAAGTGTAATTAACCCTTAATAGTTTCCCAAAACTTTGAGATGATTGAAAAACTGTTGTCAATCTTCTTCTCTAATTGCTAATTCTTTCAATGCAGGCAATATGATTCACACCATAGCTTCACCAGCTTCTTCACCATCTCCTTACCCATCTTCATCTACTGATATGCCTATGGTGATTGATCCATCTAATCCTACAAGCAGTTCTATGAACAGAAGTTGCTAATAAGTCCAGCTATACGTTTCTGTTTATTTCTTTTGGAGATTTCTCTTCCTTTTATCTTCTGATCAAAAAAGTAAATAAAAAAAAATGTTCTTGACTATCTATGTATTATTGTAATTTGTAAAACTCTTATTGGTTATAGTGTGCACAACAGTGATTTTCAACTTACATCATTGATCTGAAATTCATGACAATTTTTTGGATACTTTTCTGATGCCATAGATTTATGGAAAGAGATGAAAGCAACTGAATAAATGGGACCACAAACAAGGAATTTGAAGGGCTAATCGGAAAAATCGAACAATAGGATACAAAACACCAAGAGAGAGTCGTACTTAGTCTGAGAGAGACACGACCAATTGTAGCAAGAAGATTTCTTTATTTGCTAATGTTTTCATTTTTTATTTATTTTTTTCAAAAAAATTAAATACTAGAAATGAAAAATGTCGCCAAAAAATGTTTGCTTGGTTAGAGTTTTCTAAAAACACTTTTCAAAAAAATTCTACTTTCTTATTTTTCGTATTTTTTTTGTTTTTACTGATTTTTTTAATATTTTAAGCAATTTTTTATTTTTATTTTTAGACACACCTAACATAAATAAACTTAAAAAGTATAATTTTGTGAATTTTTTTAAAAAAATTCACTAAATACCAAAAATATTTTAAAAAATAAAAAAAATTCAGTACATTTTTCTTATTTTTATGTATTTATTAATTTTTTAAAATATGTTTTCACAATTTTTTTTACTTTTTAAATACATCTGAGTAAGGTGCAATTAAAAAAGTAAAAAAATGCTTAAAATTTTAAAAATATTCACTAAAAGCAAAAAAAACATGAAAAGTAAAAAATTCAATTTTCAAAAAATTTAATCTAAAAAACTCAAATCAAACACACTGAGAAAATAAAAAAATATAAAAAAAATTATGTTTTCACTTCAACAAAATTCATTCTCACCGGCCTCCTCCCTCGTCCTCCTTTGGCCACTCCAACAACCCCCTCTCACCAGCTAGCCACACCATTACCCCCTCCACATGTTTCCTCTCCTTATAATTAATCAAACATGGGTGGTGAGAGAGAGGAGATAATAAAATTATTTTCAAAATAAATAAAAATATTTTTTATTTTTTTTATTTTCAAAATTTTCAGTTTTTTTTATAATAAATTTCTAGAAACCATAAAAACGAAAGGAAAAAAAAACCGTTAGCAAACAACGCCTAACATAATGTTCTAACAGGAATAATTGAACAACGGGTACAAAACACCAAGAGGGTCTTACTCAAGTTTAATGGGGGAGAAAGTGTGTCATGAGTCATGACCCCATGGCCAACCCTACATTGGGCCCACAAGTTATCCCTAATACAGAAGGATGGCCAATAGGAATGCAGAAATGAAGATTAACATCACAAATTCAGCCAATGAACAACTGACAAGTCATATAGGTCCCAAAAGTCTCAATCTTCCATTGTAGGAAACCACCAAAAGTGCATGGGTCTTCTAGGTTGTTCTAATCTGGTTAGGAGTTTCATTCGGGCGCTCCTGTGCGAGTGGGAGTTTGAGGGATGAATGTTGGTTCGGATCTATGGAGATGCTTCGATCCAGATCTAAGATTCCATTCGAGCGCTCCTTTTCGAGTAGGTGTTTGAGGGGTGTACTTCATCCAGTTGTATCCAGTGGGTGTGTTCGGAGTTTGGTTCGGAACAGAGGTGTCCGACCATGGATCTGGAGTTGGCAGTGGGTGTGTTCGTGTTCAGCGTTGGGTGTGTTCGACCATAGGGGTGGAGAAGTGGAGTTGGCAGCGGGTATTGGCGTGGAAGGGGATCTCGGCGTTGGGTGTGTTCCGATGCATTGAGTGCTCGGTAGGTGTTCAGATGGGTGGCGTGGTTGGTAGCAGCAGGTTGGCTAGCACGGGAGCTGCCGTGGGTGTGAGAAAGAAGAAGATATTGGGGTTTGGATCTGCAGTGGGTGTGGGTTCTGCTCTGGGTATGGGTGGCTCGGCTGGCAGTGTGAGTTAAAAGAGGTTGCTAGCATGGAGTTAAAAGATGGTTTCATAGGTTAGGAGGTTGGTGTACCAGTGTAGAGACGGACCATTGTGGATGATAATGATGGCGGCAGGAGCAAGGTGGTAGGTGAGTCCGCAAGGGGCAACGGCAGAGTGGAAGAAGGGGCTGATGATGGTGAGTCAGTAGAGGTAGGGGCTGATGATGGTGAGTCAGCAGAGGTGTGGGCTTTGGGTGGCGTGCGTGGATCTTGGCTGTTCAGCAGCATGGGAGTGCAGCAACATTGGGTGTTGTTTTGTTTAGTTTGGCTGTTTTGTTTAGTTTGGGTTCGGGTTGTGTGGGTTGATATTGTGGGGAGTCTTGTATTTTGTTTTATAGTTAAGTTCTTCTTAACTTTTTTGTTTAAAAAAAAAAATTTTGTGAGGCCAAGGGGATGGTTGTATGGATGCGAGTAGTAGTAGTAGGGGTATTCTGTACTTTTCGAATCTCTCTCGATGCATGTCATCTGCCTGTACCTTTAATTTCATGCTGTTAATGAAATTTTTCTTTGCTGATCAAAAAAAAGTATACAAAAACACCAAGAGAGAGTCATACTTTATTCTGTGATAGACACGACCAATTGTAGCAAGAAGATTTCTTTATTTGCTAATGTTTTCATTTTCTATTTATTTTTTTCAAAAAAATTAAATGCTAGAAATGAAAAATGTCGCCAAAAAATGTTTGCTCGGTTAGAGTTTTCTAAAAATGCTTTTCAAAAAATTCTACTTTCTTATTTTTTGTATTTTTTTGTTTTTACTAATTTTTTTAATATTTTAAGCAATTTTTTATTTTTATTTTTAGACACACCTAACATAAATAAACTTAAAAAGTATAATTTTGTGAAATTTTTTTTAAAAAATTCACTAAATACCAAAAATATTTTAAAAAATACAAAAATTCAGTACATTTAAAAAAATTCACTAAATACTAAAAATATTTTAAAAAATACAAAAATTCAGTACATTTTTCATATTTTTATGTATTTATTAATTTTTTAAAATATGTTTTCACAATTTTTTTTACTTTTTAAATACATCTGAGTAAGGTGCATTTAAAAAAGTAAAAAAATGCTTAAAATTTTAAAAATATTCACTAAAAGCAAAAAAACATGAAAAATAAAAAAATCAATTTTCAAAAAACTTAATTTAAAAAACTTAAATCAAACACACTGAGGAAATAAAAAATATAAAAAAAATTATGTTTTCACTTCAACAAAATTCATTCTAACAGGAATAATTGAACAACGGGTACAAAACACCAAGAGGGTCTTACTCAAGTTTAATGGGGGAGAAAGTGTGTCATGAGTCATGACCCCAAGGACATGCATGGCCAACCCTACATTGGGCCCACAAGTTATCCCTAATACAGAAGGATGGCCAATAGGAATGCAGAAATGAAGATTAAACATCACAAATTCAGCCAATGAACAACTGGCAAGTCATATAGGTCCCAAAAGTCTCAATCTTCCATTGTAGGAAACCACCAAAAGTGCATGGGTCTTCTAAGGCTCAAAAGAGAGCAACCTTGGGGCAAAACAAAAGAGCAAAAGCGTTATTCGTGGGTCACATACCCATTACAATAATTGCACCATTTATTCCCATTGTTTTAATGGACTATTACATTCGTAATTTCTATATTTTGTTATTTGTGTGATTTTAATCTTTATAGATTTAGTTGATTTAATTTTAATTTTTGAATTAATTTAGCTCAATTGAAAAAAAAAATATTTACTAAGTTGGTTGAAACTAAATCATTGAATTAATCAAGTTTATAATTTTATCCCTAAAAATATAATACATAGATCATGTTACTATTAAAAAAATGCTAACAACTGTAATTAATAATATGACCAATTTGAAACAAAATTAAGCTACCAAAATGATACGAGTCAAAGTACAAGAACTAGCAGTACAATTTGTAGGGGTGAGCATGGTCTGAATTGAGATAAAACCAGAACTAATACATTATCTACGGTTCTTGAAAAATTGAAACCAATCCAATCTTTTTAAATCATAGAACTAATTCGAATCAATCCATTTAAACACGAATTGAATCGCTTTAGGACCACATATTTACATAATTAAATAACAAAAAAAATATAGAATATTTTAATTTCATAAAAACATAAACACAGCATTATATTAGTTCCACAATAGCAACATGTCTTTCCATAATAGCGACATACTGTTCTATAATTTAAACAATCATAAGAAACTGGTTCCACATAAGTATGTAGACCATTACAAATTAAAACTAAAAATCAACAAATAAAAACAATAAAAGAAGATACTATGCAGGTTTAGGTTTTATATGGAATAAAAGAAAATACTATACCTATTTGTATACGGTTCGGATTGGTTCAAATCTGGAACCATGGGGTTCAATCCGGAACCAATCCATGGACTACAGATTTTTAATTTTTCAACCCGAAACCGAACCACGGATTCAAAAAATCAAACCAAACCTATCGGATCAGATTATGAATTTTACAAATTCCTTACTCAGCCCTAATAATTTGCCCTTATTCTAAATAACAGTGTTAGTGTTAACAATACAATTATATATTAATTGATAGTGGATAATATCGAGTAGAATATCAATAAATATCAATATTAAAAGTTTAAAATCTTGACACATGATATTTAATTGATATTGCCTTGAATAAGAAGACAAGTCTCAATAGTGGTTACATTTCATTTTTTCAGTTTCTGAGTTTGTTCCTTCACATTTCAATTAATCCATGAACACTACAAAGAAAACTGCAAATGCCGTTGGAGGCAAGACGGCAAGAGCTTGCGAAAGCTGTCTGCGTACACATACTCAATGGTATTGCGCCGCTGATGATGCTTTCCTTTGCCAAGTTTGTGATTCATCGGTGCATTCAGCAAACCAGTTAGCTAGTAGGCATGAAAGGGATTGGCTCGAAATCAAGCCAAAGCTCGTTGGGTCAGCAGCACCGACTTGGCACCATGGGTTCACTCGTAAGGCTAGAACCCCACGCCATGCCAAAACGGTGCAACCACGAAAGGAGGAAGAGGAAGAAAAAAATCACAAACCCTCTTCCTCTAGTCCCGGAGATTGGGATTGAAGAGGTTTCGTTTTCGCCTGGTGAGAACGAAGAACAACTTCTAT